TCTTCTAGTAATAAGTAGCAGGACATATCAACCAATGACTGAAAAAAATTCAGGATTTAAAAAGAAATTGACAATAAGATATTGGAAGTCTAGGGTCTTGTTTTAGATATCCTTATGGAAGGAGTTAAATGTTTCACTTTTAAAGATGTACCCATAATGCCTATGCTTTAACTACAAATAGCATAATCCAGAGGATAACAATAATTTCCCTTTGTAATTGTAAGTGGATACATGTCTTTTTCTTGTATACTTAATCTTCGAGAAAATTGGTAAGATAGGAGTTGTTATTTTACACCAAGTATACATAGAGTAATATTATGGCTAAACACAGTTTAATCTGTATTTGTCTTTATACAACTTTATGTAAGTACTGAACGCACTATGCTACCCCAATTAATTGTTTTTTTCATTTAAGCATATTGGATGGAGTTTTAGGCCCCAAACAACATGGGCAATGGTGACAGTTGGGAAAATACGGTGGAATGAAAATAATTAAAGTTACTCAATGTCGTGATAAAAAGGTATGATTTTGAAAATGAGATTTTAACAGTTAGATGAGAATCTCATTAGTAAGCAGCAAGAGGTCTATTTATGTGGGTGTAAACATCTCATTATTAACATAGAAATATATAAAGCAGAAGTATGCCATTCAGCCTTTAAATCTGTTCCTCCATTCACAATTATCATGTTTGTTCCTCTATCTCAGTGCCATATTCCCACTTTCTCCACCTACCTCTTAATGCCTTTAAAATCTAAAAAAGTATTTACCTCTTTCTTGAACATAATCAGAGACTTGGCCTTCATATTCTCGAGTCCTAAATGCTAAACTGTCTATACCTTGTATCCTGAGATGGTGTCTCCAGGTTCTAGATGTTGCAACTATGGGAAACATCCTCCCCAAATCTAATCTGTCCAGCCCTGTTAGAATGTTATATGTTTCAATTAGATCTCCTCTCATCCTTCTAAACTCTAGCAAAAAAAAAAAGGCACAGTGAAAAAAATTTTGCCTCAAAGCACACTCCTGCCAACACTGGTATCAGTCTAGCAAACTTCTCCTGCACTCCCTTTTTGGGCAAGTATATCTTTTCTTAACTAAAGAGATCAAAAATGCATACAATACTTCAGGTGTGGTCTCACAAAGGCCCTGTATAACTACAGTAAGACATTCCTACTTCTGAATTCAAATACTCTTGCAACGAAGGCCAATGTACCATCTGCCTTCCTAATTGCTTGTTGCACCAGCCTGTTTACTTTCAGCGAATAGTGTACATGGGCACCCAGATCCCTTTGTACAATCACAGCTCCCAAGATATCACTACTTAACCACACTCCTCCCTTCCGTTTCTCGCACCAAACTGTATAACTTCACATTTAGCTGTGTTGTACTGCATCGGTCATGTGTTTGCCCATTCACTCAAGTTGTCTAAATTATCTTGAAGCTTCCTCACAACCCCATCCAGTTTTGTGTCATCAGCAAACTTGGAAATGTTGCATTTGATCCCTCATCAGATCATTTATATACATCTGGAATAGCTGATGCCCAAGCACTGATCCTTGCAGCATTTCACTAGTCACTGCCTGCCACTTGGAAAAAAGAACCCATTAATTCCCACTCTGTTTCCGGTCTATCAATCAATTCTCAATCCGTGCCAATATATTAGCCCCTACTCCCGGTGCTTTAATTTTGCCCATTAAACTCGAGGCACTTTATCAAAAGCCTTCTGAAAAATCTAAATACACTATATTCACTGGTTCTCCCTTATTTATTCTATTAGCTACATCCTCAAAAAATTCCAGTCAATTTGTTTAGCATGCTTTGCCTTTCATAAACCCACACTGGCTTTGTCCAATCCTGTACTGCTCTTAATGTGCTGTTATCACATCTTCTATTATAAATTCTAGCATTTTCCTGGTGTTGTTACCTGGTGTGTAATTCTTTCCCTCCCTTCCCTTGTAAATAGCAGGATTACTTTCCCACCCTCTGATCTGTAGCAACTGCTCCACAATCAATAAAATTTTGGAATATGTCCACCGTTGCCTTAAATATTTCGAGGGCCACTTCCTTTAGTACTCTGGGATGGAAATTATTAGGCCCTGGTCACATGTCCCCACTTTTGCTGAAGACAGAACCAAAGCAAGTATTCAACTCTTCTTTGTTCCCCTTTATAATTTCCCTGGCTTCTGACTGTAAGAGACAAACATTTGTCTTTAGTAGTCTTTTTCTCTTCATATATTTATAGTAGCTTTGACAATGACTTTGTTTCCTGCAATCTCACTCCTACTCTATTTTCCACTGCAATCAATTTTTTTGTCCTCTCTTGCTGAATTCTAAGTTGCTCCCATTTGTCACATTTGCTGCTTTTTCTGACAACTTTGTATGTCTCCTCTTTGGATTTAACACTATCCCTAACTCATGGTTGAGCCACATATTTTCTTATATATGTGACTGAGAGGAATAAATAACTATTGTAATTTAAGCATATCTTCTTTAAATATGAACTACTGCCTATCCACCATCAACGTTTTTTTTAAAAAAAGTTTCCCCAATAAATTTTTGTCAAATTGTGCCACATACCCCTCAGTCTTCTTTATTTAAATTGAAGACTCTAATTTCAGATTCAAAAACCTCAATCACCATCTTTATGGAGACTTCCATCATATTATGGTTGCTCTTCCCGAAGGGACCCTGATTTAGGCTGTTAATTAATCCTTTAGTACTCTGGGATGGAAATTATTAGGCCCTGGTGACATGTCCCCACTTTTGCTGAAGACAGAACCAAAGCAAGTATTCAACTCTTCTTTGTTCCCCTTTATAATTTCCCTGGCTTCTGACTGTAAGAGACAAACAGTACCAGCCAAAAAAAAAACCTTCTCATTATGGCTCTTGGAGATCAGTAGTGGTGTCCTGCCTGTGAGCCAGAAGGCCTGGGTTCAAGTCCCCACCTCCTCTAGAGGTGTTACATAACATTTGGACAGGATGGTTAAAAATATCTAGAATTGCCTATTCTCGTTGGTTCAACGTATTGGTCAAAAACCATCATGTACACACTCCAGGTTCTTATATGAGCCACAAAATGCATTACAAACAAGATCAGAAGGTGACTGGCATTAAGGATCAGAAGACTAAAGCCAGGAGAATTTTGAATTTTGTGATTCATAAGTAGATGCTTGAATATCAGTATCATTGCATGGACTTGTTCACTCACAGCTCATTACTGATGTAAAATATCATCTGGTGATAAGATAGATACACAAAATATTTATACATGCCTAGCTTTTTTTTAAAAATTGCTTGACAGTAATTTAGATCCTCAGTTGAAGCTCAACAACCTACCTAAAAATATACTTTCCAAACTGCTAGAATAAATGGTGTACCAGTTCATATCTACTTAGGAATAAGCTTCTCCGCATTGCCCACAACTTCTGCATTAGAAGGTGTGAGGTAACTAGATGCTACCAAACTGCCTACAACTGATTGAAACTTTATACACAGTTACTTTTGTTTGAAAGGGTGTGTGCTTGTGTGTGTGGTGGGGGGGGTATGTATTTTCTTCTAGAAAAGAGAAAGCTGAGAGATGACCTGATAGAATTCTTATAATTAAGAACAGGTTTAATAGGATGGATGGATGTATAGTAGATGTTTCGATTAGTAGGAGACCAAAGATAAAGATAAAGAGGGTTCTTGTGGCAAGGTGGTGGTGTCCCTACCTTTTGGCCAGAAGGCCTAGGTTCAAGTTCCATCTGCTCCAGAGAGGTGTCATAACATGTCTGAACAGGTTGATTTTAAAAAAATAAGACAAGGGACAATATATACATTATTGTAGTCAAGGTGACTAGCACAGCTGTATTTAAGCTTATTTAAGGTTGAAGGCAAAAGGAATAGAAGTATATAATCGGTAGCATGAGATAAAGGAAGTTGGAGGAATTGAAAATAAAAAATGTAAAAAGGAAAATGTTAATAGATGTTGAAAAAGGTAATGGATTACAATTAAATTAAGCTGGGCTGAATAGAATTGAAACAGGATAGGACTCTACTTCAACATTCAATTCGATCTCACCAGATCTGAATTCGTTTTTGTTTGTTTGAGATCTCCAGCACCCACAGTTCTTGGTCTAACTCCTCTGTTTATCAACTCCATTTGCCCATCTTGCTTCCACAACCCTTCATATGCTTGATTTCACAAAAAACATTAATGCAGTTTTGAATGTTTCAACTGACGCACCCTCAAAACATTTTGGAAGAGTGTTTATCCTACCCTTTCTGGATGACATTGCTGTAATGTGCCAAGCTCTAATTTTAAGGTCATGCTCCTTAGTGATAGACTCCTCCACAAGTCTCTCTATACATTCATTGTTAAATTTTATTCCTCAATAGCACAGCAAATAATATAATTGACTCTAATATAATGAAATCTTATTGATGGCGTACACTTGCTGTCTGCAAAATTTGAGCTTTGGTACAAAGCTTATGTTAATTCCTATTACAGAAAGCAAAATTGCAGCAAATCAAAAAAGAACAGAAAGATCAAAAGACAAATTAATGGTATGAAAACTATTTCAGAGAATACAGTAAACTTTTGAAAACAATCAATTTTGCATCTGTTTGGTTTACCTAGAATTAATCAAAAGAGAAAAAAAAAGTCTCATACTTATAGAAAAAAAAACTTTGCCAAATATATTTTCCTTAGGAACAGAAAATTAATGAAAAATATGTTTTCTTTAAAACAAAAAAAACCCCACAATAATTTGAAGTATTCAAAAAGTGATTTATCCTTTAATACTTTTATTGAAGTTTCACCTAATGGCCTCTTACTTTTTAGAGAATTAGAACTTTAAACTCTCCTCCACAGTCTTGTCAAACCTCGAAACCCATTCTGCAGAATGTAATATTAAAGAAAATACACCCATCCCACCCAAACACAAGGCAATGTATTTATCATATGAATGATGTCATGGGTGATCTGCCAGTTTAAAATAAAAAGTCAAAATCTTCTACATACCTGTAGCTTGGTGTAAGAGATATATTGAAGCCTCCATATCCGTAGAGAAAAGCAGGATGAGTGTCATCAAGCTTGATTCCTTTTTTATGAACAATAAACATTGGTATTTGTGTACCATCTCTACTAGGATAGAAGAGCTGCATAGAAAAATTATAATACTGTTATTAGTCTGTATTTTATATTCTGATCATCATTAAAATGTTAAATCAGGTTATTAACTTCAACATAGGTGGCCAACATTCTTCCATAAAATTTTCAGTCTTTTATCTTCATCTTTGTGAATCACCTAGTTGAACATCGGGAATTACAGAGGGCCACGTATCAATGATAAACCTGTGTTCCCATTAATGTGCATATCTCAATTTGCTCCAATTATATAGGGTCTTGGTTTGACTGTACCTACAGTTATGTGCATGGCTTATCTCTGAACAAGTGTAATAAAGGTCCAAACAAATGATTGCTTGGATGAGGTGATTGCCTGTGAGGAAATATTGAGTAGACTAGCCCCATTTACCCTGCAGTTACAAGAATGAGAAGTGATCAAAAATTTGTACAAGATTTGACAGAGTTGATGCTAGGAGGCTGTTTCCTCCAGCTGGGGAATCTATAATTAGGGGTTACAGTCACACATTAATAGGTCATCATTTAGGAATGTGAACAGGAAAAAAATCTACTCACTCAAAGGGTGTGAATCTTTGAACTCTCTAATCCCCGGCTTGGAGACGTTCAGTCATTAAAAAGATTTAACGGGTGATTGATTTTTGGGTACTAAGGGCTATGTGGACATTGTAGGAAGGTGAATTTGAGCTGACAATCAGCCATACCTTTGATAAGTGGCGTATCAGGCTGGATAATGGACGAGTGGTGTGGGAGGAGAATGGGGTAATCAGCCATGTCAAAAGCTGAAGAAAGGATGAATAGTTTATGACAAATGTAATTTGTAACCCAATGATGGCCATTTCAGTCTCGTAGAAGGAGCAGAAATCTGACTGGAGGGATTCAAACATGGGGTTCCAAGAAAGATGAGCGTGAATTTGGGTGATGACAGCACCTTCCAAGACTTGAGGGGACAGAGAGATTGGTGATGGATGACAGTTTGCAGGGAAGGGAGGTCAAGTGTAGTTATTGTGGGGGATGAGGTGACAACAGCAGCGTTGCAAGGAGGAAAACAGTATCAGCTAATATGACATCAGGAAAGGAAACCCCTGGTCAGCAGTTTGCATCCAAAGTATATTCAGTTGCTGTCATCATTTTAACCAGCATTTTATTCTGTTGACTGCAAGCAGACTAAAACACATAAAAAAAGCAAAATAACAACCAATTGAGAACATAAAACAGTTACATGCTCACTAAAAGAAAAATATTGAAAGAGTTAATTCATTTGACAACGTCTCTTAGCAATGCTCAGGAGCCCTCTAGTTATTTCAGTACTGTGATAAGAGTCCATGTTGAAGATTAAAAGAAGCTGATGAGGACCAGCCCCTAGAGAAAAGAATGTTTGTCGGCAAGAAATATTACACAGATAGGGCTAATTTTAGAATCACTGAGAGAACCTTCAGGAAACTTTCTTCATAAAAGGGTATTGCTGTTTCACATTTATCAGAACTGACTCATGTAGACGATGATATAACTGTAATCTAACCACAGCAAATCAATGAATTCCTCAGGACCTGAGTTACGTAAGTTATTTGTCTATATGTACTCTCTCTGCTACGAAGTGTTTTGCATAAATTAACAGCTTTTTCAATGTAGTTAACATCGTTATCCATTCAAGAGTAAATGGGAAAACTGGTCAACATAATGCCAGTGCTTAGCAGGTGGAGTTGCTAAGAAGCCAGCAGATAATGAAACAGAAAAAGCAACACCTCGGTGACTTTGACATTGCATTGCCCTATGTAGGGGAAACCTGATGAGAGTCCACGCATTTAACTGGTATTGATTGCTCCATGGCTCATGTATGACCGTTTACGGTTGCCCTCAGGTTTAAGTACCAGCAGTATGCTGGCTGTGTGAATATTTATCAAAGCTGCAAATGTTGAACATTGATTCTTGTTGCGATGCACATGACATCTGCAATATCCACCAGCACATCAGTGCAAAAGATCACGATGAAGCATTCACAGCAATCTTCAGCCAGAAGTGTCAAGTGATGATCCATCTTGGTCTCCTCCAGTGGTTCCCAGCATTCAAGAAACAATTAGAGGTGCTGGATACTACAAAGACCATAGGCCCTGACAACGTTCCGGCAATGGTACTGAAAATATATGCTCCAGAATTTGCCACTCCCTTATCCATGTTCTTCCAGTACAGTTACAACACTGGCATCTGATCAATGTGAAAATCTGCCCAGGTACATCCTGTACACAAAACAAAAACAGGACAAATCCAAATAAGCCAATACCACCTCAAACTACTCTTGATCATCAAGGAGGTGTAATTAACAGTGCTATCAGGCAGCACCTGCTCAGCATTAACCTGCTCAGTGACAGAGTTTGGGTTATGCTCTTGACATCATTAAAGCCTTGGTTCAAATCTGCACAAAAGAGCTGAATTCCTTGGGTGAGGTGAGAGTAGCACTGGTTCTTTCGTCAACTACATGAAATCTTTTCTTCTGGTTATCAATCCTCTCATGTTGGATACTTTTCTCTTCATATGCTCTATGAAAATCATCCATGTTTTGAATAACTATCAAATTTTATTTTAGCCTTCTTTGTTGTAAAGAAAATCACCTCAGTTTCCCTAAGCTCCCCATATAAATCAAGTCCTTCATTTCTTGCACCATTCTAAGGAAGCTCTTTGCATTCTGTCCAAAGCTTTGCATGACACTCAGGACAAAGTGACCTGCTAGACTGGCACCATTTCCACAAACATCCTCTCCCTCCAACACCAACGCTCAGTAGGAGCAGTGTGTACTATCTACACAATGCCCTGCAGAAATTCACCAAAGATCCTTGGACAGCACCTTAGAAACCCATGACCACTTCCATCTAGAAGAACAAGGGCAATAGATATATGGGAATACCACCACCTACAAGTTCCCCGCCAAGCCCGTCCCCACCCTGGCTTAGAAATATATCACCTTTCCTTCACTGTCACTAGGTCAAAGTCCTGGAATTCCTTCCCTAACAGCATTGTGGTTCTACTTATAGCACATAGACTGAAGTTGTTCAAGAAGGCAGCTCACCACCACCTTCTTAAGGGCAAGCACGGATGGGAAACAGTATGCTTGCCAGCCAGCAATGCCCACTTTCCACGAGTGAATTAAAAAAAAACAATATCCTAACCAAGGTCTAACCACATGCTATGAAGATTTAGCATGTATTTCCTTTCTTTGCTACTTAATAGCAAAATCAAAGGTACCATTTTTTTAAAAAAAAAAATGTATTCATAAATTGGCTAGACACCTTCAAGAATTGTGTATGTACATCCTCGGGTCTATTTAACCCTGCACCCTCTTTAGAATTGCACCATTTATGTTCACACGAATGCATTACATTTTAATTGTATTTGTGGCTAACACCACCACTTGGTGGAGCACTGCAGATGCACATGTAATACTGGGTGGATTTCTTTTTAACTCCATCCTTGTAGAACATTACACATTTATTATTAAGCAAGAGGTAAATACTCATGTGGTTTATCAGCACATAACCCACTATTTAAGCTTGATGGAAAATTGATGTATTTGAAACGCTAGACACAAGAAACATTCAACATTGCACGGTGTATTACAACACAGTCAAAACTTCATCATGTAACTTTTTCAGTTAGATCAGTAACTTTTTGGTCGTTAAGACAAAGAACGACCAAAGAGGGGATGACTAGAGACAAAACAATTTGACCAATACTTAGTGCTTTGACATATTTGAACAGGTTTACTCCCTAACAAATGACAGAAACATGTAGAATATACATCAAGAACAGCATTTCACTCAAGGCAATGATGTCAAGATGCATGCCTTACTCTCCTCTTGCAATTAACATACCTATAAAATGCAACTGGATTTTCCTTTAATATGTCAATGTTTCTTACCCCACTAGTTTCTTTTCTGATTAATCCCCTGCACATTCTACACTCCTCTAGGGCGTTCTTGTGTTCCTTTATCCAATTCTGTACATCTCTTGGGTTCTCTGGTATTGTTGGTCCCACCCATCACATGTACAGGAACATGTTAGACCTGCTGTTTCACTCTTATTCTTCCAAATGCCTTCCACTGCTCCAATGTGTATTTTTCTGCAAGTAGCTGCTCACAGTCCACTTTGGACAGATCCTGGTTCACCATATTAAAATTGTCTTTCCCCTAATTCAGAATTCATAAATAAATTAGATCTGTTTGAATTATGGTCACTACCACTGAAATGCTCCCCACTGCCACATCTCCACTTGCTCGACTTTGTTCTTTAAAACTAGGTCCAGTACCAGGCCCTCTCTTGTGGCTGTAAGTGCTGACTTAAAAAGTTTCCCTGAACATATTTGAGTACTCTGTCCTGTCCCCATCTCAAGCCTTTCACCTCTTGTCAACCCCAGTTAATATTGGGGAAGTTGAAATCCCTTAGTATTATTACCCTATTATTTTTAAACTTCAAGATCTGCCTATTTGTCTATCTTTCCCTGACTGTTTAGGGGTCTCTTGTACATCCCCAGCAAAGTGACTGCCTCCATTTTGGTTTCAAGTTCCAGCCAAATGGCCTCACGAGGGACCTTCTAAGATATCATCCCTCCTTGCTGTAGTAATTGACACCTTGATTAATACTGAAACACCACATCCTCTTTATCACCATTCACCACACTCCCCCACTGTCTCGCCTGAAGATTCCACACCTCAGAATGTTGAGCTGCCAAGTCTTATCCTTCCTCAACCATTTGTCTTTCATAGCAATGATTTCACTTCCCCATCCTATCATGCAAAGTTTCAATTCATCTTCCTTACTTGCAAGGCTCCTTGCAATAAAATAAATGCTATCTTGCCAAGCTCTCTTGTACCTTGAAATTGAATATATTTGCACTGCCTTCTCGATCTACCTGGTGATTCTTTGGTGTATCACCCCCTACTGTGCCTTCATTCTGTATCCCATCCCTGTTAAATAAGTTCAAAGACCTGCTAATTACAGCAGTAAACCATCAACAAATGACCCC